TAGTAACATGTTTTGATTTTTTTTTAATTTACTTTATTAATCCTCTTATTATTATTAGTAATTTATTTGTAAAAATTTTGATATTAATGTATCATCATCATCATCATCATCATTTTCTTCATGTAAATTTTTTTTAAAATTAAATTTTTTTTGTTTAAATAAATTATTGCATATTTAAAAAAAAAATTTGGCAATTTCTGAGACCAGGTGACTTGCATTGTATGTCATAAATGGAAAATCATGGAATCCTTTGGAAAGTCTAGGTTATCACGAACAAAATAATTTTGGTATATATCATAATTTCATTTTTTTAATTATTCATAAAGATAATTGAGGTATAACAGATTAGGTATCAATTGGTTTTTTTTTTGTTGAGTTGTTTCTTAGTGTCTTTCTTTATCTTTTTTCTGTTGCGTATACTTATCAGTCTTTTTTATTTTAATCTACGTCCTGCTTTCTTGTAGATAAGTTTTTTCTTTTCTGAAGGGCACTGTATTTGTAGTTCAGAGATATACATCCTCTTGCAGTATGTAGATGTAGTAGATGTAGACCATTCATGTCCTCCAAAAAGAAAAGCAGACTGCAAAATTTCCAATATCCAATTTCTCCTTAATGGTGTGCTCCTTGGTTAAAGTCTCACAAAAAAAACTTATAAACATGTATTCCAAAGTCTTTTTTTATATTTTTCTTGTGTACCTTTTCATCATTTACGTCACTTGAACAAGTGCCATATCCCAATCTCTCCTTTGTTCCATCAGTTGTTCCCAAGGAGCTAAGTCTTTCTTTTACTGAATACAATTCAGTTCCCATACACTCATCTATCATTAAACTCGAATATTTCTTATTATAGAATTTAATGTTTATTAATTAATTAATATTGTTAGTAATGGATAGTAATTTCCAAATAATTAATTAATAATGAAATTTTTATTCACCTTTGTTAACATTTAGAAAAAGAGTCACAATCAAGATTATTTAACGAACTATTACTTGTATAACTTTTAAAGTTCTTAGATTTAGCAATCTCTTCATCCAATATTCTACTTTTATGATATGCGTCTGGATGTGATTTGTGTGCTTGTTGCAAAGCACTACTACCACCACTACTATTAGTATTATTACTATTATCATTATCATTTTTAAAAACTTCATTATGTTTATTTTCAGCAAATTTTCGAAGCTCTCTACTAGTTGGTCTTTTTGATGGATCCACATCCCAACACCTCTGCATTATTTGTACATAATCATCAGGCATTCCATGTAATATTGGTGGTCGTAAACCTTCACATATATCAAAAATTAAACGATGATTATGAGCTCTATCATCAAATGGTGGATGACCTGCAAATATTTCCCACATTAACATCCCAACACTATAGATATCAGACTCTTTAGTGTTCTTTGTGTCATTGCCTCTAAGTACTTCGGGTGCAACATATGATACAACTCCATAGACTTTATCAGATGATTTTTCATCAACTGGTCCACATAATCCCAAATGTGTAATAAAACATCTACCTGCTTGTACAAGTATATTACCACTATGTAAATCACAATGAATTAAATCTTTTTCATGTATATCATCTAATGCTTCACATAAACAACAAAAGGTTGTAATTCTGTCTTTTAATGTTAAATGATTGTTTTGTAAATCACCCCTTAAATTTCCTTCTGATTGATAATTCAAAACTATTGCATAATTTCCATTATCTGGGACTTTAGTTATACCAAAGCATTTAACAATCAGTGGCGTCCTAACTTTACAATAATTCATTGCCTATTGGATATAAAATCAATTAGTATTATATAATACAGTATTGTTTATTTTGTTTTAAATGACAACTACTAACCTCATCAAAAAATGCTTTTCCTGGATTACTTGAATTGTTTAAACTTTTTAATACTACATATTGTGCTCCTATATAAGTAAATTCCTTTTTATTCTCATCATAATCATTTATATATCCTCTTGTCCATGTAGCAGTATAAATTGAACTAAATCCACCTTCTGTCAACTTTGTAATATCTTCAAATTGCTCAAAAGGTATCCATTCTATAATATAGTTTGGCAGAGATGATTTCATTTGACATTGTTGAATAAAATCATCAATTATGTTATTTCCAGATGTCCAAGTGGTGAAAAAACTCTGTAAATGTAAACTGATACAACCTTCACAGAATCTATCAGAGTATTTTGTCAATTTACACTTGCTACATTCTTTTGGTTGGCCTCCTTTATCTCTTGCATTTCTTAATTCAAAGTTATAAATAAACTCTTGCTTACAATATTCTTTTTCATTTTCAGAAAGCTCCTTGTTTTTTTCAACTAATGAAAAAAAATAGTCTTTACTACCTTCTTCACCAGAATTAGCATTAGCATTATTATACATTCATTTTTGATTTTCAATACAAATTCGTCCCTTCCTGGTGGTAACAATGATAATAATCTATCATGTGACATTATATAAAAATATAAAATATAAAACTTTGACTTATTGTTTTAATGAATGTGGAGATTTTGAGAATGACAGTTATATTATTTCCTTTTTCTTTGCGGACGTGTAACAAAAATTTTTTCGTACAACATTTTTTGAATTGGAAATTGCATTATTTAATTATTTAAAGAACAGTTTCACCACCATCATTCAACTCTAGTGATCGATTTATCGTGATTCAACAATAAAATAAATTCTTTGTAAATTTAAATGCGATAAAAATAGAAAACAAAATTAAATTTTACAAAAACACGTATCAAAACTGTCTTATGTGCTATGTAAAGGTCATTCTAAGTACCAATATTGATCAACTTATGTTGCTTCAGACTCAGATACTAAAGACAGCTCAGGCACATTATTAATAGTATTGCATATTACTACGTATTTCACGTAATTCTGTAGTTAATCAATTTAACACAACTCATATGTATGTAAAGACAATTTGATTTTTTACATTTTATGAAATGTAATAATAATAAAAGAATGGTTTTAATTTGTAAAAAAGGAGAGGCCTTTTTATTTTGAAGGAAAATATACGGAAAAAAAGTCAAGTAATTTAATTTAATTAAATAAAATTTCTAATTCAAATTATAACTTTCCATGATAATTATTATTCTGCATCATTGCAATATACATACAATGATATAATAATTCTTTAATCATCCCCAGGATACATATTTTTACATAATTTGGAACTTTTGATAATTCTATTTTATCATTAACCATTATTGCTGCTTGCATTACGTATCAAGAGTTTTTACTTACGTCAAGTACGTCAAGTGGTTTTAATTACGTCAAGGGCTTTTATTTTACTCAAATCGTCAAAAGGGCCTTGATGAAAAACTACCTTTAGTCAAAACTTTAATCACGTCAACGACTAAAGTTAAAAAGTTTCGTCATACATCATTAGTCACTATTGGCAGGTATTGAATGGTTGTAATTGAATCTTGAAGAGATACATAAACCATTTTTAATATTACATGGAATGAATGACCGTGTTTGTCATATAAGGGGATCAAAAGAATTGATTTTACAGTCTCAAACTCTAGAGGATCAAAAATTTATGACCTCATATGATAATTGTGAACATGACATGTTGCGAGATATTGGTAGTGGCGAGAGAGTTATGGAAGATATGATTGATTGGTTTGTAAAAAGAGACGTTAATTTGATTAATTAGATCAGATCAAAGATGAATTTGGGGAAGGATATTTTTTTTAGAAAATTATAATTTGTATATAGATCACACCCATATAAATATAATCACCATAATTACATATAGAATTTGTACAAATTATTGTATGATATAATAAAACCTATTTATTTTACTTTATATTTTATAGCATGCCCAGCAAATCTTGGTTCTAAAAAAAAAAAAGACTAGAAACTTTTATCCTCGGATAATGAACTAATTATCAGTAGATTACGCGGTTATAAGCCGAAGAAATTAACGGGAGATACAATGAGAATTTGTAAATGTAGAAATAGGATATCTAAATTAGCAGATTCTAAAAAAATTGTTGTACGTGAAAATGAAATCTATGTGAATTTGAAGTTCACATATGTGAAGTATTAGCCAATCAGACTTTCATATCCAAACACCCACATATTTTAATTATGAATTTCAATTCCACATAGTTTCAATTCCACATACAACAGAATTAAAGGCTTCAATCAAAACAAACAAATTATTTCATTTTTCCTGTTCTATGTGATTGATTTGAATCGGGTTCAACTATTACATAGAAAATTACATAGAAAACATACATACATAAGATAAAAAGTCACCGGAACAATTGATGGCATGAGAGGAAAGTACTCAGACCCAAAACTATTTATGTTTTTAATTTATTTTTCTCTTTCCGGGCAACTTAAAAATTTCAGTTACCATTTTATTAAATCTTTTTTCTTATAAAATAACTATTTAAAATCTTTTTGCGATTTTTAAACATTTCCCGAGTAGTACTTTTGACCACTAATGAGAGTTTATGTTCGATTTCAGGCTCTTTAGAGTTTATTGCATCGATTTTTCCTTTGATTCTTTGGTTTATATTATAAAGCTGGTTCTTGTAAGTTTGTAATGAAGAAAAAAAGTCACTTGTAAAAATTAAGTATTTCGTTAAATTTCAGGTTGATCGTCATCGTCATATATTCTAATGCAAATCAAGTAAAGCCTATTATTATATATACAATATAATTTTTCATTAAAGTATGGGCTCATATATTTTTTAATTATTTTTCATTACTTTGTTACACGGATAAATTGAAATCATGTTTCGACACACGCTTTTTTCTAAAATATGATGGAGGATATAATGATAATATTTATTTTTAAAAAAGATTTCCCTTGTAACAAATAATAGTAAAGGAAATTTTTTCTTCTTTTTTCACTTTTCACCACCATCATTACCACCATCATTGTAATTAATTACCTTCATTTTTGCTAACTCTTTAATATAGAAATTTTATCACAATTATTATTTTCATCATCATCAAAAAGAAAAAATGCTAAAATTTGCACCGTTAAATGTTCCATTTGAAAGAAGAAGACAAACTGCAACTGTGTTATTTTGGCTTATGTCTTTACCGGTTACATTGTTTTTATTCTTTTTGTGTTGTACAATACCATTTTTTTGGCCATGGATTATTGCATATTTGCTATTTGCGCTTTTTGATATTGCACCTGAAAATGGTGGAAGAAGATTTGATTTTGCTAGGAAAAATATATATTGGAAATGGTACGCTAAATATTTTCCAATCAAATTAGTAAAGGTATGTAATACTGGTGAATATTGTTATATACACAAATATTATTTACATGTACTTTTTCAAATTATATAAAATTTTTTTGACATTTTATTTCTTGGTAAAACGAAAAAGACGGCGGATTTAGATCCAAAAAAAAATTATTTATTTGGATATCATCCACATGGAGTCATATCAGTTGGAGCATGGACAAATTTTGCAACAGAAGCCAACGATTATTCCAAACATTTTCCTGGTATAACATGTAGACTGTTGACTTTGTCGGGCAATTTCAATATGCCACTTTATCGTGAATATTTGATGGCTCAAGGTGTCGCGTCTGTGTCAAGACAATCATGTGAAAACATTTTAAAGAAAGGACCAGGTCACTCAGTGATGATTGTGATTGGAGGAGCAGGTGAAAGTTTGAGTGCAAGACCAGGTGTTTATGAGTTGATATTAAAAAAAAGGTTAGGGTTTGTTAGGTTGGCCATACGATGTGGTGCTTGTCTGGTACCTGTTTTTTCATTTGGTGAAAATGATATTTGGGAACAGGCCGATAATCCTAGGGAAAGTAAGGTTTGGAAATTCCAGAAGCTGATACAAAAGTATATCGGATGGACAATGCCGTTAGCCTACGGAAGAGGACTTTTCAACTGTAAGTTTGGAGAAATGGAAGAGAGAGAGAGAGGGAGAGAGGATCGATGAGTAAATGTATTTGTTGGAAGAAGGTGGATAATTATTTATTTGTTCGATCTAAAAATTTATTTTATTTTAGATGATATCGGAGTTCTTCCACATAGAAGACAAATTACAACTGTTGGTATGTGTCATGTGTTTTATTTCCTCTTAATGTACATGTTTTAATAATATATATATATATATATAATGATTATTATATATTTAGTTGGTAAACCAATCGAAGTCATACAAAATGCTAATCCAAGTGATGAAGAGGTTCTTAAAATCCAGGAAGAATATATCGAAGAATTATTTAAAATTTGGAATGATTACAAAGATGTATATGCACCGAATAGAAAACGAGAATTAACTTTAATAGAGTAATTAATTAATCTAAAAAAAAATAAAAAAAAATAAAATTAACAAGTTTTATTATAGTTATATTAAATTATTTAATAAATCCAAAAAAAAATATAAAGTTTTCTTCTTGGGTTTAGCCAATAGAAAAAAGTGAAATGGAAGATCCAAAAAAGAGTTCACTGTGACGACGTATTTTTACTGTAACGTTCAAACTTAATTTTAATAAAAAAAAAAAAAAAAAAAATGTTTAAATACACCTTTTTAATTATTTTTCTAAATTTCTTCGTTCTTATTACACCATTTTTTTTCTTTATGCTTTTGATTTATTGGCCGTTTTTATTAGTTATATTATTTCTTTATAAGCTTGAAAAGTATTTCAGGTATGTAGGACGTTCAAATTTGTTTATTGTTTTAACATAATTATCAAGCAACCCACAAAACTTTCAAACAATTTATTAAATTTGAACGGCCCCACACACACATATATACATTGTAATAATGATTTCATTGATCAATGAAATTCCGCAAGTCGGGATTTTATATCAATTCGATAAAAATATTTTTAGAGGTAAAGAAAAGTATACTCGACTAAAAAAATAATAAAAATAACAACAACACTAACAACTCATTCATTAAATTACAGCCTCAACAGTTGCAAAATCTAAACCAGGGACACGAAAAGCACGACCAGGACCACGACAACAAGTATTTACAGATGTAAGAGGTGAATTTAAAATAATTGATTTAAGGCCTTGGCTTAGGGGATTTGATACAAAATGCATAATACTAGAACGTGGTAAGTAAAATTGATTAACGGTGAATCATTGAACATACATTAAAATTATTATTATTATTTATTAATATCATTATTTTTAGTCGACACATTTATAGCATCAAGAATTAATGCACCAGTCAATATCTTCCTGGTAGCCGATGAAACTGCTATGTGCAGAATGGCAATCTGGGGAGATGTTGGGAATGAACTTAGGGTGCAAGATGTTGTGGATATTAAAAATGGGTATAGTAACATCAATCAATCGATTTCATCTTTTATTTTTCTAATTCATTAATTAAACTTATTGGATGTATTTACAGTGAAACAAGATTATTCGATAGAAGATTACGATTAATATTAAATAGAAATGGTGGAGAAATTAGGATTATTGAACGGTAAATTATGGTTTTGCTTTTATTAGTCGTGATGGCAGTCATGAGGGGGGGGGGTGTTCAAAATCATTTATTATTTTATCTGTTTATTAGGGATGCTACGTATTACGTTGAATTGGGCCAGCCAAATATAAGCGAAAGAGTTTAGTTGGTCTTTTTGATGGATCCACATCCCAACACCTCTGCATTATTTGTACATAATCATCAGGCATTCCATGTAATATTGGTGGTCGTAAACCTTCACATATATCAAAAATTAAACGATGATTATGAGCTCTATCATCAAATGGTGGATGACCTGCAAATATTTCCCACATTAACATCCCAACACTATAGATATCAGACTCTTTAGTGTTCTTTGTGTCATTGCCTCTAAGTACTTCGGGTGCAACATATGATACAACTCCATAGACTTTATCAGATGATTTTTCATCAACTGGTCCACATAATCCCAAATGTGTAATAAAACATCTACCTGCTTGTACAAGTATATTACCACTATGTAAATCACAATGAATTAAATCTTTTTCATGTATATCATCTAATGCTTCACATAAACAACAAAAGGTTGTAATTCTGTCTTTTAATGTTAAATGATTGTTTTGTAAATCACCCCTTAAATTTCCTTCTGATTGATAATTCAAAACTATTGCATAATTTCCATTATCTGGGACTTTAGTTATACCAAAGCATTTAACAATCAGTGGCGTCCTAACTTTACAATAATTCATTGCCTATTGGATATAAAATCAATTAGTATTATATAATACAGTATTGTTTATTTTGTTTTAAATGACAACTACTAACCTCATCAAAAAATGCTTTTCCTGGATTACTTGAATTGTTTAAACTTTTTAATACTACATATTGTGCTCCTATATAAGTAAATTCCTTTTTATTCTCATCATAATCATTTATATATCCTCTTGTCCATGTAGCAGTATAAATTGAACTAAATCCACCTTCTGTCAACTTTGTAATATCTTCAAATTGCTCAAAAGGTATCCATTCTATAATATAGTTTGGCAGAGATGATTTCATTTGACATTGTTGAATAAAATCATCAATTATGTTATTTCCAGATGTCCAAGTGGTGAAAAAACTCTGTAAATGTAAACTGATACAACCTTCACAGAATCTATCAGAGTATTTTGTCAATTTACACTTGCTACATTCTTTTGGTTGGCCTCCTTTATCTCTTGCATTTCTTAATTCAAAGTTATAAATAAACTCTTGCTTACAATATTCTTTTTCATTTTCAGAAAGCTCCTTGTTTTTTTCAACTAATGAAAAAAAATAGTCTTTACTACCTTCTTCACCAGAATTAGCATTAGCATTATTATACATTCATTTTTGATTTTCAATACAAATTCGTCCCTTCCTGGTGGTAACAATGATAATAATCTATCATGTGACATTATATAAAAATATAAAATATAAAACTTTGACTTATTGTTTTAATGAATGTGGAGATTTTGAGAATGACAGTTATATTATTTCCTTTTTCTTTGCGGACGTGTAACAAAAATTTTTTCGTACAACATTTTTTGAATTGGAAATTGCATTATTTAATTATTTAAAGAACAGTTTCACCACCATCATTCAACTCTAGTGATCGATTTATCGTGATTCAACAATAAAATAAATTCTTTGTAAATTTAAATGCGATAAAAATAGAAAACAAAATTAAATTTTACAAAAACACGTATCAAAACTGTCTTATGTGCTATGTAAAGGTCATTCTAAGTACCAATATTGATCAACTTATGTTGCTTCAGACTCAGATACTAAAGACAGCTCAGGCACATTATTAATAGTATTGCATATTACTACGTATTTCACGTAATTCTGTTGTAAATAAATTTAACACAACTCATATGTATGTAAAGGCAATTTGATTTTTTACATTTTATGAAATGTAATAATAAAAGAATTTGTAAAAAAGGAGAGAAAAAAATTAAGTAGTTTAGTTAAGTAAAATTTCTAATTCAAATTATAACAATTGTAAACTTTCCATGATAATTATTCTTCTTGCATCATTGCAATATATATACAATGATATAATGATTTTTTATTCACCCCCCAAGATACATAATGTGGAATTTTTGATTATTATATTTTATCATTATCATTATTGCTGCTTGTATCACGTATCAAGAGTTATTACTTACGCCAAGTACGTCAAGTGGTTTTAACTACGTCAAGGGCTTTTATTTTACTCAAATCGTCAAAATGGTCTTGATGAGAAACTACTTTTAGTCGATACTTTAGTCACGTCAACGACTAAAGTCAAAAGTTTCGTCATACATCATTAATGGGGTCTACAGATTTCAAGATCATTAATAAATGAGTATCTAATTGGTTAAAATAAAAATTCTGATTATTTGGTAGTTTAAAAATAGAAGTGGTTTCAAAAAATTCTAAAAAAATTCAGTTAACAGATTATAAAGGTAAAAAACTGCAGTTCAGCGGGGCAAAGAACATGGCTATACACTTTTACTTTGACACATTAATTCTTCAGATCTTTGAAGAAAATAATGATGCTCATGGGTTACAATCTTTTGTCCTAATCCCATAATTTACATTCAGAATCTATCATATGCCCGTCAACACAGATGCCCTTTATATTATTTTAAAATATAAGATGTATCAATGGTGCAGTTTAGAGTTAATGCTAAGTATAATCGGGAAAAATATTTAACACTGGTTATTATAATAATAGATTTAGGTTTTATGTAGTAGTGGTAATAGAAATTGATTGTTGTAGTCTATGATGAATCTTAGGATATGGCATGACAGAGAGAAAGTAAAATAACGATTCGTAGAATATTTAGTTTTAAACTTTTCTTTTACGATTTGAAATTAAATTTAATCCTTGATATGTTGGATGAACCTGCAACTCGAGATAATCATTTAATATGGATCAATACATCTAAATGCTGCGTCACGCGACGAAATTTTCAAAATTATTCATTTTATGACAAACCGTTTGACTAATTAAAGCGATACTATAATATTTTTCATAAAATACACAATAATAAATAAGAAATCCAGAGATGTATGTGCCATCTATGAAATGAAACAATTAAGCGATTGCATGATATAATTATTAATGAACGAAAGTGTTTTCTATTGTATAACCAACCACGCGACTAGTATTTTCATATCAATTGGTCTGGAATATTATTATCATAAGAAAAATCCGTAGTTGACACATGTTGAATTGTAATTTCACCAGAATTATATAATAATATCACAATACATAGGTAAACTCGATAAGTCAGCCGCGAATGGCTGAGAATGTTTGGCTGACTTATCGAGAGAACCGACCATCTTACCGAGAGCACGTGACATAAAATTTTATTATTATAAAATTAATAAAACAGATAAAATACGAAAAAAATTTTTTTCTTTATTCTAAATAAATAAATTATAAATAGTTTTTTAAAACAATAATTGTTTATATTAATCTTTTTCTTGGAATTTCAGAAGTTTGGAAAATCAACCAACCTTTTATACATATTTCTGAACACAATAAAACATAATAAAAATAAATAAATGTATTTTCACAATACAAACAAGAATATTCTTTCTAAATTATCAGGTAAACAAAATGAAATAATAAAAGAATTTCTAAATCATCAGATATAACGGTATGATATAAAATTCTAAAAAAAAAAAATCATAATGAAAATGTCACGTGAGGCTGACTTATCGAGAACAATTTACTTATCCTAAAAAGAGGGTTGGCCGACTTACAACTTATCACAACTTTATATAGGTTGGCTGACTTATCAAGGGATTTTAAATAGGAAAAAAAGGGCTGAAAATTTTTGGCTGAGTTAGGTCAAAACTGATTTATCGAGTCTACCTATGTATCAGTATAAGTTAACTCGCTTTGCGAGAGCTTCTAATTTCTCACAAAAAAATATATACAGTCAAACCTCGTCACAGCGGACCTCGCCACAGCGGATTTCTTGTTACAACGGATTTAAATATTGGCCCCTT